CCACAAGCCTGCCGGGCCAGCGCGGGCCGAGAGCAGAACGGGCCACCACAGGCCGCCCGCTCAGCGGACAACCGCAAGGCCTCCAGGAGGCAACCACAACCCAGGAGGGCAGCACGGGACGACGAGAGCAGCGAAGCGGCAGCGGCCAGCGGCGGCAGCAGCGGCGGCGGCGGCAGAGCCCCGAAGCCCGAGAGCACCGAGCGACCACGACGCGCGAAACAAGCCACGCAGAGCGGAAGAAAACAAACCCCGACCACCAGAGCGAACCCGAGGCGCGGAACCGGCCCGGGACAGCCCGACCGCGCGGACGCAACGCCGAGGGCCCGACGCCAGGGCAACGCCAGGGCCCGGACCGAGACGCGGCCCACCCCGAGGACATGAACCAAACCACCGACCAGCGAGAACCACACGACCACGAGCCGAGAGCCCGCCACGGGACAGGGCCAGCCAACGGCCGAGGACGAGACAGAGCCAGGGGGGGCGGAAGGCAACAGCCAGGCGCATAGCAGCCACATGCAAACAAAAGAAACAGCAACCTCCCCGCAGCGCCGCGCCGCGACGCTCGGCGCTGCGAGGAGGGCTTAGCCGTGCGCAGGCGCGCGCCCCACGGCCGCTTCTGTCGGCGGCAGTGCTGACTCGCGCGGCGCGTGGCGGCGGGCCGCGCCACCGAGCGCGGGCGCGGCCCGCGAACGCGCCAGCGCACGAATTTGCGACCGCCCACAAACACCCCAGGACCCCTCTGGGACCCAAGGACGTTGATGGGCCAACCAAAAAATGCCGATGCCGCTTGCGCATGATGTCAGCCCAGCCATCGAAGCGATCATGCATTCCGTGCCCAAGTCCGTTGTTATTGATACAACCCTGGAGCAACATAGCCTGACTGTCTCTACGCGTGGTCCAGCCATCAAAAAATCCCAAATCAGTCCAGCTGGTTTTCCGTAGGCGCCTCTCACTCGTGAACCGATATGCAGCAATGGGGACAGCCTGCGCGTGACTGTTCCGTGTCCTTCAGGGCCGTGGACCACGAGCTCAAAGGAACTTGCCAACAGTTCTTTCGCTTTCCACTGGGGGCCCGCATCAGTCCATATGAATCTCGTTACCATGTGCATTGGTAATGTGTGGGGGAACTGCCTGAAAGCCAACGTCGATGCGATGTCAAACCTGTACGCGGCTTGCCGCAGCACTTCTCTGCTGATGCGCTGCATCTGGGCGCCACGCGCGGAACCTGCCTCTTTGCCAAGAAGAACTTTGCCCCGGGCAAGCGCTGCTGATTCGCAGAACCTCAAGTCTTTGAAGGCCTTCGTGGCTTCCAGCAGCAGCGCCATGCATTCCACGCTGGCGGATGCCTGCTGGGGCGGGCCACCGCCACGAGCGCGTGGCGCGCGGTGGCGCGCGCTGCAGCAGCACTCGCGACAGGGCGTCGCGTGCGATACTGGCTGACAAGGGTATGGGGCTAGGGCTGACATCGCAAAGCACTCTTCACAGTGGGGGCTTCGATCCGAAAACCGCGCAATGCATCGCCGTCTGCGAGCGCTCACACACCAGGACGGCCAGCCCAAAGCCAAGCACGATGGCGCAGCGCTGCTGGCGCGCACCCAGACCGCAGCGAGCCTGGACATCGGCGGCGAACTCGCCGACAGTCGCCCCTCCGAGAATGCGTTCTGTCGAAACTCTCGGCAGCAAAATCGGCGCGGACACGTTGTCCTCTAAACTGACAGGCCGTTCTAGCTTGTGTGCCCGAACCGTCACGTAGCTGATGAAGTGGGTCGGGCAGCACGTCGCGTGCTTCTCCGAATGCGATCGCATGATCGCCTCATGTTGCGGTGTGTCTTCCTCCGTATGTCCAGATACCCAATGCCCCACTGCAATGCCGAAGATATGCCTCTCATTGCCGTCGTCAACACCATCTCGAAATTCATCGTGCCAGAATCCACTGCGGTGCGAAACTACCAAGAATATCAGCATCGCCCCATGATCGGCCGCAGGAGGTCTACATCGCATCCTGGGAGCGGGAACGACCAAGATCAAGCCTTCGTCGCCATCCATGTTTTCACCGACAACACCATGTCCAGCCAGCATGGCAAGCTCATCACCGTCAATCTCTGGGTCACCGAATATAGACAAAGCCCGATGGCCAGGTGTGAAAGCTATATTGTCGAAACGGCTTGAGCCAAAATGGCTACGGAAACCATGTGGAGTCTGATGAGTCCTACAATGTCCCAAATATGTTCTCGTACCGTGGCTTTTGATCCCGCTCAGCGTGTTTCCGCTGGCACAACTGCAGGAATCAAAAAGGATGGAGGACCATGGTCAACTAGAGGACGAAGGGTAGCATCAGGAGGGGGACTTGTCCCCCTCCTCAGTCAGTCCAAGTATTATTATGCCTCTTTCTGCCCGTCTTATCCCCCTTTGTCCTCCTCCTCCTCCTCCTCCTCCTCCTCCTCCTCCCCCCTCCCCCTTCTCAACCCATCGCCCTCTTCTGCCTCCCACTTCTGCTTCTCCTCTTGCCCCTCCTTCCTTCCACTTCTCCGTTCCGTAGCCATTTGTGCTCAAGCCTCATGGCGTGTCGGAAACTGCTACGTATGCCCTTGAGCCCGCGCAGCGTCGGAAACTCACGCAGAACTTTAAACGCAACCTTACATCGATTACCTACGACGGATAGGAATGAACACTGAGGGGGGGATGAGGAGCCTGGGGGCCATAAGAGGCCAGAATAAAGTGTCTTATCTTTGAATTGAGGATGGAACCCATGGCAAACCAATCATTTTCCTCCGCGTCCTTCCTTGTCTCGTTTTATCATTCTCTTTTTTCCATTTCTCACGGAGACGATACGGAATTCACGCAACAAGATGGTGGGACATCCCCAAACATACTGAAACCAATAACCGTGATACTGAAACGAATAACGTCGATACCGAAACCTACTCTCGATACCGGAACCTATAGACAATACCGACACCGATCGTCGATACTGAATCCCGTGTTGCCCGTTGTTCTTCGGTATCATGCTTTGTTCCCCAATCAGAGTTTGCCTCTGTAGGGGTTCTAGCGGATTTATCAGGTTCGGTGAGGTTTGCCACCGATTTCCGACGCCCGCCTGGGTGCCACGGTGCCCGGGTGCCCGGGTGCCCGGGTGCTCAGGTGCCCAGGTGCCCGGGTGCCCGGGTGCCTTGTAGCCCTACAGCCCTGTAGCCTTAAAGCGCTATGGCCCTATAGCCCAATAGCCCTATAGCTCAAAAGCCCTATATCACTGTAGCCCAATAGCCTCATAACCTTCTAGCCCTATAGCCCTATCGCCCTAGAACCATAGAGCTCTATAGCCCTATAGCCCTGTAGCCCTATTGCCCAATAGTCTTATAACCCCATAGCCCTATAGCCTCATAGCCCTATAGCCCTGTAGCCCTAAAGCCCTATAGCCTTATAGCCTTATAGCCCTATAGCCTTATAGCCCTATAGCTAGCTCTGTATGCCTATAACCCTAATCAACATAGCCCCCTACACCTATAGCCCTATGACCCTATAGCCCCATAGCCCTATAGACTCATAGCCCTACGCCCCTATAGCCCGATAGCCCCATAGCCTCAAGGCCCTATAGCCCTGTAGCCCTAAAGCCCTATAGCTCTATGGCCCTGCACCCCATATAGCCCTACAGACCTATGGCCCTATAGTTCCATAGCCCTATAGCCCTGTAGCCCCATCGCCCTATAGCCCTAAAAAGGCTTTGATTGGGTTGTTTCTCCTGTATCACTTTTCATTCGACTCAGGGGACCCTTTGGCACGAATCGGGCATCCCTGGAACGCTCTCGGCGAGGCGCAGCTGACGGAAGGCACCCCGAGGCTGGAAAACCACAGAGAACCGACGAAAACGCCCAAACACCTCGAACCCCGAAAATCTGAGGGGCCCGTGTCCCTCAGAGCGACCTCCATTCATTTCCTTCGAGAGAACGCGTTTCACGGGCGCTTGCCTTGGGAACATTCGGCGGCGCGTTTCGAACGGGAGGGTGCCCCCCCCAAACACTCGGCGCCGTCGATCAAAACCAGGGGGACCCCCCTCCCCCCCAGATCCCCCCCTTCCCCAACCGCCCCCCTTCCCAAAAGGGGGGGATTCAAACCCCCCCCCCCTCGGCGCTGGCGCCGGCGCCGGCGCTGGCGGCCGCCAGCAGCGCCCGCGGCGGGGACGCAGCGACGATGTCCAGAGGCAGCCCAGGACCCCCTCCCTGGCGACGGGGGAAGGGGGGGGGGTTCAACCCCCCCCCCCCCTCGCGCCGGCGCCAACGCTGGCGGCGGCCCGCAGCGCCGGCGCATGCGCCAGCGACGGCGGGGACGCAGCGACGACTACCACCACTACCGCCACCATCACCACTACTACCACCACCACCACCACCTCAACCACCACCACCACCACCACCACCACCACACCACCACCGCCTCAACCCACCACCACCACCACCAACCAGCACCACACAACCACCACCACCACCACAGCCGCCACCAGCACCACCACAACCACCACCACAACTCACCATCACCACCACCACCACCGCCACAACAAACCACCACACCACCACCACCACAACCACCACCACCGCCACCACCACCACCACAACCCACCACCACCACAACCACCACCGTCGTCCTCTTCGACGCTCCCCGCCACCGCCGCCCGCCGCCGCAGGCGCCGGCGCCGACCCAGAAATGGAAATCGTCGTCCCCGCCGCCGTCGCCAGCGGCCGCCGACGCAAGCGCCGGCCCGAGGAGAGGGGAAGCAGGGGGGAAGGGGGGGGGTGTTCGAACCCCCCCCCTTCCATCCAGGAAGGGGGGGGGGCCGGTTCCAACCCCCCCCCTCCCCTCCAAGCGACCACAGCACGCGCTCTTTCTTTCTGTGCGATCCTGTGATCCTGCGAAAGCGAAATCCCTCCTCCTTCGACTCAAGGGACCTCCTTCGACTCAAGGGACCTCCTCCTTCGACTCAAGGGACCTGTTTTCCCTGCGTGGCGGTCCTGCGGGCGAGGCTGCCGCGAGCCCACCGCGCCGCCCGCCCCGCCCTTCGGCGGCCTCGCGTCGAAGGCCTCTGGGTGGGATGGCAACAAGCCGCCGGGCTCCTCCGCGTTCCTCCCGTGCGTGTCCTCGGACACGTCGTCCTCCTTCCTGCAGTCGTCGTCTGGGCAATTCTTGGGGGGCACCCCTCCAGATGTCCCAGATGTCTGACGACGCGGGCAATGGTGTGGTCATTCCTGCGCACGCCGACCCAGCTGTTGCCCACATGCTGGCAACAACTGGGACCAGATGGCGAGTGCCGACCGAACGACCTCCTCCTCATCACTCTCGTCCTAGTCCTCGTGGTCCCAATCATCCTGGGCCACATCGCCGTCGTCGTCGTCAGCGTCGGCGTCCTCCTGCTGCTCCTCTTCGTCGTCCTCCTTCTTCTCTTACTCTCCACCTTCTCCTCATCATTTGTCCTGCCCTCCGCCTCCTCCTCCTCCTCGTTATCCTGAGCCCCCTCCACATCCCTCACACCTCTCAAACCTCCTCCTCCTCCTTTTTCTCATCGCCTCAGCTTCAGACCACGTGGTAACTCGGATCGATACCAACTTTGCGAATCCAACTTCTGGGCCGTAACCGAATCGACTACAGACCTGGGGGCGCCAGCGACGTGGCCACGGGGTGAACGATGTTTGTTGCCTTGCGCAGTCATTCAACGAGGCTTTGCTGATTCTGAGCGCGCTGTATGATGAAAGAGTTGACGGTAACGTGAATTTGCACACACATGCAGTCATGCAAAACAATTCGGCTGTAGATCTGTATGCAAAGACAGCGAACGTCCACAAATGCTAGAAACCCCTAATATCAACACATCTGACACATGGGGCTCACAATGCTGTGGCAATCCGTAAATTCGCCGGCCCAACGGGCCAGAGGCGTGCGAAGATCTCCGGTAACTGGTTAACAATATTTATAGTTCGCGCGCGCGGGGCGGCCCCTGGGGGTCCCCCGGCGAAAAGTACCCCGACCGCAGCCCGGGAAGGTCTACTCAGAGATTGTTTTCCTCCTGGGTACGGCCTCTCAGGCCCCCCAGAGCTCGCCAAGAGGGCCCCAAGAGGCCCCCAAGACTGCCCAAGAGGCCCCCGAGACGCCCAAAGGACGCTCCAAGACGCCGAAGATGATCCCAAGACGGCCCAAGAAGCCGCCAAGACGCTCCAAGTGGCCTCCAAGAGGCCTCACAAGAGCGCCCCGAGAGGCCAAAATCATTAATTTTACGAGGGTTTCGGAAGGATTTTGGCCTTGTCGCATTTTCGGCTTTCCGATGCTCCCAAACGACCCAAGAGGCCCCCAAGAGCGCACGATGACGGCTCAAGAGGCCCCCAAGAAGGCCCCCAGAGAGCCCAAACGGGCCCCGAGACGGCCCAAGAGACGCCCAAGACGGCCCAAGAGAGCCCCAAGACGGCCCCAAGAGGGGCCCAAGATGGGGACCACGAACCGAAACCTCAAGCCTTCCGCCCCAAGAGGGCCCCAGGAGGCCCCGAGAGGCCCCCAAGATGGCCCAAGATGCCGCCAAGAGGCCCTCAAGAGACCCCAGGAGGCTCCAAGGAGGCTCAAAAGAGGCCCTACAAGGCTTCAAACATGTTTCCCAGGCGCCCCCGAACGGCCTCTCAACAGACCCCAAGGCCTCCCAAAGAAGCATCTGGACGACGGCCCTGTTTGGGCCCACGGCGAAGCACTAGCGATCATGCAACATGGGCCAGCGGAGTGAGCGAAGCGATTGAATTACATGCTGGGAAGAATGTGTGATCACAAGCTAGGGGGTGTCGAACGTAGATTGACATTCGGCCCCCGTTTCGCGATCAAGTTCAAGGAGTACTCAGTCGACTACTGGCATCGGAAAGCGGTTCAAGTGTATTACGATAGAATGCTAGATCTTCGCAACCAGCGATTGATTGTGGTGCCAATATGACCTCCATGCGCGGCAACCAGGCTCAACGACACATCTGCTCGCATGATCGCCGACCGCGGGGCACCACGCGCATCGGTGCCAGCCAGCGCCAATCAGTCATCGCAATCGCCACCGCATGGGTTTTGTGAACCTAGTTGCTGGTGGGTGGGTGGGATGATTGGGCGAGCAGTGGAGCTGGCAACTTCAAGGTCGGCGGAGCGAATTGTACCACATCGGTTGCACACCATGTAATGCCCCACGTAGACGGCGCCGCAGATGTTGCACCACATGGGTTGCACAACATACGTTGCTAGAAACACACTGTTCGGCGTCAATGCTGACTAACCTGTGCGTATGCATGTGCACACTCGCACGGGCATATGCCAGTACGTATACATCTACCTGTACATATTATAGCATATACCTACACTCATAACTGTGCATGTGCATGTGCAGATACAAATTCACATCATTACACGAATATGAATAGACACACATATACACAAACGTAGGCATAGGCACACATGTACACATACACCTATGTTCAACAGCTAACCGGCGGTGAGGCGCGGAGCGCTCGGACTAGACAAAGAGGAGCAGTGCCAACATGCTGACCATCTCACTGGTTATTTGGCCGACCTCGACAAGGCTCCGAGACACAGTAAGTAGCAACTCGCGCTCAGGAAACAAGCTGTCGTGCCGGCACCGCCGCGCTCTCCCTGATAATAAAGTACAAGGGAGGGAGTTTGGGGGACCAAAAGAGACTACAAGAGCGCCCAATGATCTCCCTCGGACAATTGGCCTGAGACCGCCTCGCCGCATCTAAACAAAACAATCAAGGACAAACATGTTAAACAGCTAACCGGCGGTGAGGCGCGGAGCGCTCGGACTAGACAAAGAGGAGCAGTGCCAACATGCTGACCATCTCACTTGTTATTTGGCCGACCTCGACAAGGCTCCGAGACACAGTAAGTAGCAACTCATGCTCAGGAAACAAGCTGTCGTGCCGGCACCACCGCGCTCTCCCATATCTCCCATTTCCAATGGCCTTCAGGGTGGGCGGGTTGGGCACTGCGATTCCATCGCACGGATGTTCGGAAGAATACGTGGGAAACGTGAAAGGAGCCACTGCAAGCTGGCGTCACCATTCACTTTTGTGACCGACTTCAGACGCTCGAGCTGCTTGAGGAATCTGCCCTTTTTCTCGTATCTTTTGCAGCTCGCCAGGCTCTTCCACCGGCCTCTCTTTTGAATCTGCGTAATCGGGAGGTCGTCCAGGCCATCGGTGGACGCGCCTCCGCGCCGCAGGCAGCGCGGGGTGAGCTGGAGGTCGCTGAGCTTCAACTCCTCCACGCCTCGGCGGAAGATGCGCTCGCACCCCGCGAGCGTCGTCAGGCCGGCGAACGCCAGCTCTCCGACTGCCGTCGCCCGATGGAGGACGGAGACCACCTTCGACAGGAGCGGCCGCCTGGCTTCGGAGGTCTCGCCGAAGATGATCGCGTCGTCGAAGTCGCCGCTCTTGGTCGGACGGCCCTCCTCCTCCGGGCAGATCATGGCCGCCCAACAGCGGCGCCCGCCTCGAGCGCCTTGTGGCTGGATGAGCTGGTCCCGTCCTAGTCCGAAGCCCTCCGAGGCTCGCAGGTAGCCGTCGAACAGCACGAGCGTCAGCGCGGCCGAGTTCACCATCGCTAAGCTGCGCTGCTCGCCCATCCAGTGGGCCAGTGCCAGGGCCGCCGCCCAAGGGCAGCCATCCCGCGACCTGATCTGCGAGGCTTTGCGGAAGCCTCGCAGGGCACGTCGGGTCCGAGGGAAGTGCGGCGATTTCGCCCAGACCTCGTCTATGTGGAACATCAGCGCGTGGATAGCGTTGTTGGCGCGGGACAAGGGCTCCCCGTCGAAGTAAGGCTTGTCGAGGTAGCTCACGAGGGCCAGGTCGCGCGCCTCGGGGGTCGTGGTCGTTAGGTGCTGCGCCTTCCACCACGCCGTCAGGTCGTCGCACTCGCGCCGGTAGACGCGCAGGGTCGCTGGGCCCACGGACCTCTGCTTCAGGTAGCCCTCCTGCCCGGGCGCGGCGACGATCTGCTTGGCGACCGCCCGCCGGCGCGAGCTCCGACGCTGCCGGGCGCTGGATGGGGGGGCGGCTGTCGACCCCGCCCTGCGCCGGCAGTCCCAGCGGCGGCGCCCCGCCGCCTGGGAGGCTCGCCTGACTCGCCAGCCGCCCAGCCCAGCGAGCGGAGGGCGAGGCGCCGCCGCTCCGCGCTGTCACCGAAGAGCTGGTGCCCGGTAGCGTGCCCCCATCCAGTAGAAAACCGCCGTGGACAGGTGGGGGCCGGGAGCGGCTCTGGCCGCGCGACCCGCGCGGCGGCGGCCAGCTCTCGCTCCCAGCGGGGGTCAAGCAACGGCTCGCCACCCCGCCGAAGCGCGGTCCGACCCAGGGCCCTCTTGAGCCCTTCAGCGGCGACCCGGCGCAGACCTGGAGGATAAGCTGCTGCCAGGGAACTCTATCATTTCCTGACGTACTTGCCGGTCCTGTCCAGGACCTTCACTTTGCCTTCGAGGAGCTCGTGGGGGACCAGGCACTTGCACTCTCTCTCTCTCTCAATGATCTTCAGCTCAGGGACGTTAGTGACGAAGACGGTGGGCTTCTTGTAGGGGGCCCCGTAGCGGCAACAGGGGTACCCGACGGACACGCACATCATTTTGTTGAACATACTGACCAGGGGCTGGTACTTGAGGAGCCTCGAGGACGTCGGGTTTTCCAGTGACACAGACACCCCAGACTTGTGGCACGCCTTGAGGACCTTGCGGCGAAGTCCACACACCCGAGGCCCGCCCGAGAGCCCTCCGAGTCCTTGGACCCCGTGTTGTTTGCAACGCTCCAGCGTGTACAAGGAGGAGCGAGGTGGACGTGACTAACTTGCCCACGAACAATCCACTGCATGATCTTTTGCTGTACACCAGCATCGAGAACGTTGAACTGCGGCCCCGCAGACGCGTCCACTGGGCACAGGATGCGCAGCCCGCTCGCCACCAGGCACGCGCCAGAGAGCCTCGAGCACCCGCTGAAGATCTCCAGCACGCCAGCGCGGCCGCGAATGCTCCGAGCCGCGGCCCCGCTGCTGTGAGGCGCCGCGCCGC